GCGACTGGCACCCGAGGCCTGCCCGCCTCGCCTCGCTCCTGGGCAGCGCCCTGGAGCCCCGGAGAGCTCCCACGACGACCCAGCACTGCCCCCCCCAACACGGGCCCGAGGCTGCCCGAGACCCCTCCAGTACAGCCAGACAGGTGGCACGCGCGCCCCGGCTCTTGCACGAAGGAGCTGCGAGGGACAGGAGGCCTTCGCCTCCGCCCTCCAGGAGCTCACTCCTGTGGCCGGGGGGGGAGAGGGGGGGGGAGGACGAACGACGAACGGACGAACGACGACGAATAGAAAGAGGTCCGAGCTCTAGAACGCAGCTGTGCAAGAGAATACCCCCCCCCCACGGCCCCAAGACCCGCCTTTTCGGCCCGAATGGTGCTCAGCCGAGCATCTCCGGGAGACCTCGGCGGAATCGCTGCGCCCAAGACGGCCCCAAGACCCACTCCCGACGGGCCCCCGGCGAGCTCCTGGCATGCCCCTTCGAGAGAGCCGCAGCAGGAGGCCCCCGCGCGGCCAACAAGAGATCTCCCAACGTATCCGAGACTGCTTGGTGGCATCGTGGATACATACAGTGATGGCACTACAGTCGGGGCCTTGACCTAAGGAACCCAAAATAAGGAACGAGGCCCCTTTTTCCCATAAATTAAACTTCGATCCCCCATGGAAAACCGAAGGACAACCCATGGCAGACTGTAAAACAATCAAGGAACACCGAGCCCCTCCCCAACGAAAAGGGTTCCTTCTCCAGCGCCCCGACTGTAGATCAGGACACCTTCGATAAGGAATCCAGAGTCTGGAAGCCAGTGGACAGCCAATCGTGGACTGGCCACGGACGTCCGCGCCGCCCTCATCAGATGAGGAACCCTCCGGGGTCTGAAGCCTCCCGGGCGCGCTCCTCGACGAACGCCCCCACCGTATTGCGGCATACATGGTCCGGGGTTGCCCCCCCCCCCCCCCCCCCCCCCCACACCTCCCCGCCCCAACCCAATGCATATGGGATCGAGCCCCCCCCCCTTGGATGGATACGCCCGTGAGCCTGCCGAAGGCCTCGCGAATGGAATCGCTCCCCCCCCCCCTGTGGTCGTGGCCGTGTGGGCGTTGGGGTTTAGGGTGCGGGTGCACCCCCCCGTCCCTCACCCTGTGGGTGTGGGGTGGCTCGTCGTCTTCGTCGTCGTCGCCGTCCGTCGATGTCGGCGGCGTTGGTTTTGGCGTCCCCCCCATCCCATCTGCGGGGGGGGGGCTGTGGAACCCTGGGGCCCATCCCATCTGGGGTGGGGTGCCTGTGAACCCTCGTCCTGGGATCAGATATCGGTGTGGTCCCTCCTCCCTCTTGGATGCATATGGTGCCTTCCACATGGAGGAGGGGCCAGGGGAAGGAGGCGGAACGAACAGGCAAGACCAGTCAGAGGAAGAGCAACGAGAACGAGAATGCGGATAAGGAGGTGGCGTTCAAGGCCCGCGTCAGTGGACGCACAGCACTGAACTCGAGCACAGACCTCCTCCTCTTCCTCCTCGTCCACATTGTTGGAGTCCCGCAACGGTGCGGCGACAGACGGTGCGGTGACCTCGATATCCCCCACGACCTCACCGCACGGCCCGTCAACGCACGGTGTTGGGACCTCGGATGCCCCAGTTGCCCGAGACGCCCTCGGAGAACGACTCGAGTCCCAAAACCGTGCGGTGACCCCGAATCCCCACCGACTCACCGCACGGTGTGGTCACCACCCCGTTTGTGGGGCCCCCGATGCTGGGCCCTTTGGCCAGGCGGTCCGGGACGCCTTCTGGGCAGGGTCCCGACCGCCTTCCCAGGCAGCTCTTCGAGCAGGCCCTCCCAAGCGCACAGCCAAAGGGCCCTCTGGGTGGGCACGTCCAGACCAAAGGCGCCCAGGGACACACATACACACACATAAAACAAATACACACACATCCCAGGATTCCCCATATTTCCAAATATTTTCTTGGGTTTCGTTTTCACCCCCACTTCCAGTATGTTCCCATATTTTTCCTGGGAGCCGACGAATGTGTGTGTGTGTGTATGTGTGTGTGTGTGTTTTTCCCCCTCCTGGCAAACGCCCTGTGTGTAGGAATTTCTGCACGCGGGCTCAAGTCTGCCCTTTGGGTAGACCCCCCCAAACAGAAACAAGCACACAGCCAGAGGGCTCCTCGAGTGGGCCCAGCGGAGCGCCCTTGGAACAGGCCTTCCCAAGCGCAGGCCCGAACAGCCATGAGTACGCCTACAGTCAACGCGCCTAGTAAGGACGCGCGCCTTCATCCAGGGTACCCTTGTGTCCTTGCCTCTGAGGCTCGTCCTTGCCATTATCACTGGTCGCCCGCCGCCCTAAAAAACCCAACTTCGGCCTCCGAGGGTCTTGCGTCCTTATCACTTATCACCCGTCCTTAATGTACGTTTGGACTGTACCCAAAACGCCCAGCTGCTGGGGATTCCCCCGAGCGCAAATCAAAACTGCCATACCCCCAAGGGCCGTGTGGGCAGGCCCACCCGAACGCCTTGCGGGTGCGAGTTCGCAGACGCTTACCCAAGCGGCCCTTTGGGCACGCCTTCCCAAACGCCACTTGGGCAGGAACTCCCCAACGCCTGCTCGAAAAGCTCTTTCGGCCAGCCTTCCCAACTGGCTCTTTAGGTAAACCTCCTCCCCTCTTCCTCCTCCCATCTTTTCCCGCTCATCCTGCTCTTGCATGTGCCTTCCCTATCCTCTTTCATCTCCTCCTACACAGGGCCTGCACAGCGTCCCGGCCAAGTCGGTAGCAGTGAGGCTCCAGCTCTGCCGACTTTGGATCGAGATACTTCTTGAGGACAGCGTCGCCTAAGGAGCTACCTTTTACATCAACTCCCACGTCCATAGAGCATGACCCCCAGCCTGGCACTTTCCTGCTCCTCCCCCATCCTCAACCCAGGGGTATTGCTCGTAAATTGGTTGTGGGCATGAAGATATAGAGGTGGCTCCCATGTCGCCGTAGATGTCTAAACGCTGGAACGGGTTCAATGCAAGGAGGATCTTGCCCAGACCGGTGTAGATATCGTTCCTGTCGTACCTGACCTGCGCGGTTTTCAGTACGGAACCCTGGCAAATAATATTCAGGTGCATTATGTCAGGAATTCCCTGCAATTGGTCGTTTTCCACCTCGTCCAAGTCCTCAACCTTCTTGTCCTTGGGCAACGTGACTTCCTTGCCAGTCTCATCCTTGAGCTTACCATCCGCGCCTTCTGTGCACACTATCCATGCCCTTTCTGGATGAGGTAGCCAATATCTCTCCGGCATTTGCGCAGCGACAGCGTCGCCTGACCCGAAGTCCCCAAATCAAAGCCGAGTAACAGATTTTGAAGCAGTTTGGGCCAGAATGACCCCGAAATCGACGTGGAGGACGAGAAGGAGGGAGAGGAGGAGGAGGCAGAGGAGGGGGATGATGAGAGGGGGGGAGGAGTAGGAACATAAGGAGGATGAAGGACGATGCGGAGGAGGTGAACAAGGAGGATGCAGAGGTGGACAGGGGGAAAGCAGGAGGAGGAACATTCTGGGGGGAGAAGAGCATCAGGAAGACACGAAAATAGAAGGCAGTACGAGGAAGAATGCGTGAAGAAGGAGCATGTGGATGATAAAGGGGGAGGGGTCGCCTAAGTAGAGGGCGAAGAGAAGGCGAAACAACTGAGGCTGGGAATAGAGAATGTAGGGAAGATGGCGACGTCCGTGATGCCATCCCTAGATCTGAATATTTCATGAGTGCAAGTCAGGTGCACCATTAAACTAATACCACTATAACCCACCAGCTCGAGCAACTGGCTACAATTGCAAGCGTTTGCGCAATGACCGCCTACGTTTACACGATCAACCCGCACAACAAACAACAATCGCGGAGACAGTCATTTGGCTACGAGACTAAGCTACAAGAACAAGTGGATACACGTTGTCTGCACCGTTGCATGCGGCGTGGATGACAAGACCTTCAAGATCGCTGAAATCAAGTCAGCGCTGAAACACGACTTGAAGGATCACAACAATAAAAAACATCGACATGTACAAAACCAAATGCGTAGATATTACCAGGGCGTTTGCGATTGACAACGCTGCCGACAGACCCCACAACGGACAAAATATACGGTCAACGCTGCGAGATTGCTACTGGATAGCGTCGCGCAAATACATGATTGTTGATACACGCCCATGGGAATCAGCGGTACGCTTCTCCTACTGCATGACCTGGGACCTCCACAAGGAGGACTCCGTCATACAATATACTTCTACGTCTACAGCACCATTGTCCGCCTCAAGCAGGCTATCGTCGCCAATGCCTACGGACCAGAGTACACATATCATGATCAAGCACCATATAGGTAGACGCAGATGAAATGGTATTACATGAACCACGGTACCCCGATTACCGAAGGATACTACCACGCCGTGAGTTTACCGTCCCCGATCTATCGGTAGAACAAGCGTGCGCCTACAGAGACCACGTCGTCTCTCGCGCTACTGACAAGCGCATTACAGGCACATCGTTACGTACACGGTGCTACAGGTGGAGGCCAGTCCACAATAAACCTTCCACAATAAACCCAACCCTGAGACCCCAGGACGTCCATCGATTTTTGGTGTGGGAACGTCGCGCTTTCCATTACACAATCATCGAACCCCCAAATATCCAGGGCACCCTGGAGGCAAGCAGGGTATTTCTTGGCATGGCCTCCACTGTACGCCGCGAGTAGCACGGATGATGTGAATGGAACGCTCTCCCTATCCTATCCCAGACATGCGACGTCTGGATGTTTGCGATACGCGGTCCCCAGAAATCTCGCCCCCCACCCCGGGGCCGTTTTTTTGTTTTTTGTGTAAAAAATATATAATCTGGAGTCACTTTTTGGCGTTCCCGAGGCCCGGCGAAAGCTTCCTGAGACCGAAAAAGTCCAAACCCTCACGCACTTCTACGACGCGATCATGCCTGGGATCCCCGCCCCTCGTCCCTCATGAGTCGCAGGATCAGCGTGTGTCGGCGGTGGTCAAAACCTCCCTTTAATAAACCACCCTTCGTGAAAACGGCTTAGGACCGAAACCGACGAACCTGGACCCGCAAAAATAACGGCCGTGACAACCTCTCGCGAACCGGAAACGGCCACTTCACTCATCGACGCGTCAGGGTAGGAGGTCTACCAACCTCCGAGGGTGCTCTCCGGCCCCCCCCCGCTCCTCCTCCTCCTCCTCCTCCTCCTCCACCACCTCCTCCTCCTCCCATCTTCCCCTCCTCCTCCTCCTCCTCCTCCTCCTCCTCCTCCTCCTCCTCCTCCTCCCCCTCCCCCTCCCCCTCCTCCTCCTCCGCTGGCGTGCGAGAGGCTGGCCCCTCAGTCTCTGGGCTCCGCGGCGCGGACACGGCCGCGCGGGCAAGAGCGCGGCTCGGTGGCCGTGGGGAACGCTGCGCAGCGCTGCGAGAGAGAGAGAGAGAGAGAGACCGCCCTCCCCGCCCTCTGTTCTAGAGTCGGGCGTGTCCCCCTACAGGCGGGATTTTCGATGAAAAATAAAAAATACCAAAAATGCACCAAAAAGGTCCCAAAATAGTCTAAACATAGTCCCTGGACAATTTTTGGATTATTTTTGGGGCATTCTTTATCTTTCGTCGGGGCCGACTTAATTCCAGAGGGCAGAAAATCCCCCCCCCCAAAAAAAAATTACCACCCCGACAGGCGAGGCCGTTTACTAAACGCCCCCACCGTGGGGATCGCTGCGCAGCGCTGCGAGAGAGAGAGAGAGAGAGACCGCCCTCCCCTCTTTCTAGAGGGCAACAAATCCCCCCCCCCCCCCCATAATTACCACCCCGACAAGCGAGGCCGTTTACTAAACGCCCCCACTGAAGGAACCGAACTGGGCGGGGCTGTTTAGTAAACGCACCAGGCCGTCTAGTAAACGCCAATTGTCCAGTCGGGGTGGTTTTTCCTCTCTTCACTTTCGGGGCGCACAGGGGGGTGGAGGGAGGGGGGAGGGCTTCTTAGAAGGAGGCTGCTTCTGAGAAGGGCGCGGGCCTTACACCTGTAGATGAGGCCCGCGCCTTCTAAGAAGCAGGGATGCTTCTAAGAAGCCCCCCCCCTCCCCCCACCCCCTTCTGCGCGTGGCTGACTCTTTTCGGGGGCGCGCAAACATGGATCAGCGATCCATGGATTTGCCGCGCGGTCGCCAAATCCATGGATCGGTGGAGGTGCCCTTCCCAAAATGCGGCCGGTGCTGCCTCGCTCGGCTGCGGAATTCCACGATTTCCCATGGAAACGGGACCCGTCGCTAATCCACGCCCCCTTGATCCATGTTTGCGATCGCCTGATCCTTCCTCGGGAGCCAAGGGAATGCAGATTCAATTCATACAAGAATGAACATGGAGCTGTTCTGCACGGTTCAGAACATAACTTCAGAAGGTTCCACAGAAGGGCTGGGTGATCCGTGGGAGCGGTGTGCCACTCGTGGCACGTGGACGCCAGCGCGAGGCCAGAGCGCCAGCTGGCGGCTGAGGGTTCGAAAGAGCTGTTCCAGAAGACGAAGTCAGGATGAGGACAAACTCGGGTGAGGATAATGAAGGGGCTCCAGGACACACAAATAAATACACACAAATAAAAAGAGTCCCCATATTTTCCCATATTTTCTGGGGAATCGAGTGTGTGTTTTTCCTCTCCTGAGGATAAATCGGGAATCTCTGGGATCCCGCGGCTCCGGAGGACGTGTCAGGCGCCGCGGCCTTCCCAGAGCGTTCTGGAGCGCTCCGAGAGCGATCCAGAAGGCTCTGGAGGGGATGTATCCTCGTCCTGGTCGCGTCCTTCCTCCCCAGATCCAAGGCATTGAAACAATCAAGCCGGAGGATTTTTTCCCACCTCCGGCCTTCAGAGGCCCTCGCTGGGCCCCAGGACCGTCAAAAAACGACTCGGGATGCAAAACTGGCCCCTCTCCCCCCCCGCCTCCTCCTTCCTCACAGGGGAACAGGGACACACACACACACACATAAACAAAAACACAGATCCCAGGATTATATTTCTCCATACGTTCTCTTGGTGTTCGTCTTCCCCTCCACTTCGCATCTTTCCCATACGGTAGAGGGAAGCAATTACTGAACACTCCGCCTCCCCCCCAAACTCAAAGTTGGCACGCGCGGGGAGACTGCGGTCGAGTCGCAACTCATCAGGCCCACCGCCAACTTTGAACATTGGGGGGAGGGGGAGGCGTTGATGTGCCAGGAGTGCTCGCTCTCTTTTTCCGAGGCCTGTCCTTTCCTGGGAATCGGCGATCCTTCGTGTCTGCCGCGCCCCTCGCCATCGCTGGGACGTCCATTCCCTGTTTTTCTTTTTGGGTTTCGTGCGTGGCTCTTTCGCCAAATCATCAAGGATGCTCCTCGATTGTCCTCGCCGAAGGAAACATGCACACGTCCGAGAAATGCCAAGCCCTCCTCCTCCTCCTCCTCCTCCTCCTCCTCCTCCTCCTCCTCCCCTTCCCCCGCCCCTCGCACGGCGGACCTCCGAGGCGAGCCGCGGGGCGCCGCCGCGCCCGGCGGCTTCGCCGCCCAGGCCGCCTGCCGCGGCGGGCCGTCGTCGCCGCCGCCGCCGTCGTCGCCATCGTCTCGTTGTCGGCGTCGTCGTCGTCGTCGTCGTCGTCGTCGTCGTCGTCGTCGGCGTCGTCGTCGTCGTTGCCGCCTTCGCCGTCACCGTCGGCGTCGCCCAGACGTCCGAGCGCGTCCGCCGCAGCCGCCGTGGTCGCCGTCTCCGCCGCGTCGCCGCAGCCGGAAGGACACCACCTCACGCGTCCGAGCGCGCCCAGGGCAGGGGCGACGGTAAGGGGACAACAAAGTGGAACCCCTTCGCCTTCGGCCCCGCATTCGCCCCCCCCCCCTCCCCCCAATTTCAAAGTAGGGCTCGGCCTCTCGGAGGCCCTGGGGGCTCCACTCCTTTTTGTCCTCCCACGCCTGCGCTGCCGCATGCCTGAGGCCAACTTTGAGATTGGGGGAGGGGGGGGGGCGTGGTGTCAAGGGTTCCACTTTTTTGTCCATCTACTACGGGAGGAGGCGTCGCCCAAACGTCCGATCGCGTCCGCCGTGGTCAGCCGTGGTCGCCGTCGCCGCCGCGTCGCCGCAGCCGGAGGGACACCACCTCACACGTCCGAGCGCGCCCAGGGCAGGAGCAAGAGGAGGGGCAGGAGCAGGAAATCGCCCAAACGCCGTTGAGGTCGACCCCTGATCTCAGGAGTCCCCCGGGCCCCCCCTTCCTGGACAAGCTCCTCGGGCCTCGGGCCTGGAACGACAC